CCTAGGCCCGGCCCCTGCCCAGGCCCTGACCCGGGGCCCGGCCGTAGCCGAGACCCCAGTCCAGGCGGGGCGGCCCGGCCTAGGCCCGGCCCCGTCGGGCGGAACGGAGGTGGGGCGGCCCGGCCCAGTCCCAGTCCCTGACCCCGGGCCCGGCCAAGCCCCCGTCGGGCGGAGCGGAGGGAAGCGGAGCCGGCGCCGCTGCGGAAGAGGGAGGGGAAGGAGGGGCAGAGGCAGTGATGGCAGCGCGGAGCTCGGGCGGGGATGCCGCGCTGCGGCGGGCGGCCGAGCAGTGGCTGCGGTGGGATAAGGTGAGGGGCGGCGGGGGCCGGGGGCCGGCTCCTCCCGCTGGCGGAGGGGGGCGATGGGGCCGCAGGTTTGTGGGGAGTCCTTGGAGGGGGGGTGTCCCGTCATGGCAGCCCCCTCTCAAGCTTAGAAACCCCCCGGCGGCTCCCCGGGCATCGTCGCTTCCAGCTGGGTTGAGTTTCCTTTCTAAAAGAAGGAGCTTGTGCTGCTCCTCACCCTTTCTTCTTGTAGGGGCGGCCGGTAGACTTTTAAATTATTAAAGGCGAGAACACAGTGGTGTCTGTCTACCAGTGGTAAAAACCCCCAGGCGCCTCCATATTTTTATTTATTAAAATATTGTTTCCAAAAGGCATGTGGGTTTGCTTCAAAGCCACTGGGAAGTGCAGAATCTGCCCTCTCTTTTTTTTTTTTCCTGGTGTTGTCACCCCAGCACGTAGGGACCCTCCCTGTTCGTAAAATAACTCCTGGATCTTTAATATTGCCCGCTTTCGTGGTTTTCCTCCCCTTTCCTGCTATTATTGCTTAGGAACAGCTCAGCACGCGGTATTTCCCTTCCCGTTAAGGTGTTTCAACATCTTAAGACTTAACTTGGCGTTCTTCAGTTCTGGTCGGGACAGGGATATATGCAGAAGTAAAATCTTCTGGGTATTTGTATAGATATATATATAGAATTTCTATATATTTCTATATAGAATATAGAAATATATTCTAAAGAAGCATCTTGCCATAGTGGTGCTCTGGAAATGCTTACGTAGCTCCTTGCCCCTGCGGTTCCCACTGAGATACAGGTCCATACTCTGTATATTTATTTATTTTTTGCCCCTATAGATGAAATTTATTGGTTTTGCTCTGTTGGCACGCACTGGCCATTGCTCCCTTTGGTCACTTGAGTGACTGCCCTGGTGTGGGTTTTGTGCAACCCCCATACTTGTTTGGTCAGGGGTCTTCTGCTTATTTCAAGATTATCAACGAAAACGCAGAATAATTCTGTTTGGTTGGGGTTTTTTTAAGTTTTCTTTCCAGGTTCTAAAGGACATTATGACAAGTACCTCTAGTTTGTTGTAATTCTTCATTAAAGACCATTTGACTGGTTAGCTGACCTGTTAGGCAGCTCTTTTCCTATTAATGATCATTTAGAAATGCCAGTGTATGATATCAAATATTGTGTCGCAGTCTTGTGGTTTTTTGTGTCTTCTGTGACTTTTTTTTTAATTGATTTTGAGGAAACAGTCTGGTTTTAAAGGGCCTCTTATTTCCATACCTAACGTGAGTTATATTCCTGTCTTCTGTGTAATGATTGCACTTCCAACTGGTCATTCGGGTTATTTTTTGAAGCTCTCTGGGAATGTAATGGAGCATCCCTTGCAGTGTCCAGGGGGGCATCAGGAAGAGTGTGAGCAGCAGGTGGAGGGAGGTCATCCTGCCCCTCTGCTCTGCCCTGGGGAGGCACCAGCTGGAGCACTGGGACCAGTTCTGGGCTCCCCAGTTCCAGAAGGACAGGGAACTGCTGGAGAGGGTAAGAAGTTCCATCTGAACATGAGGAGGAACTTGTTTGGTGTGAGGGTGGCAGAGCCCTGGCAGAGGCTGCCCAGAGAGGTGGTGGAGTCTCCTTCTCTGGAGACATTCCAAACCCTCCTGGACACGTTCCTGTGGGACCTGCTGTGGGTGACCCTGCTGTGGCAGGGGGTTGGAGGAGATGGTCTCCAAAGGTCCCTTCCAACCCCACATCAGTCTGTGATTCTGTAATCTCTACTTTTGAAATGTTAGCTCCTTGTTAAGTCACATCTTTGACTCAGTAATAACCCACCGTGTGCAACACCCGCTGCTGATTGCTCAAAATACGACGAGGTATTTTCATTTCTCAGGTAGCTCTTACGTGTTTGGATTGAGTAACAGAAGAATCCAATATAACCCTTGTCCATTTACTCTGATATTTAAAAAAAAAAAAAAAAGGTTCCTTTTTGATGTGTAGAGATAGGTTAATATTTAATGATGATAAGCTGCCTGTTTCTTACAAAATAATAGTTTGCCAAAGCAAGCCTGAAGACAGTCCTGCTGACTTAAAAGGAAGTTTTTACCTAGATGGCAATTACTGAGCTCGTTACCCGGCTGTTTTTGTCATGGTGTTCATTACAGAAGTACTGTATTTTTCATTCTTTCTATTAGGGCTCATACAGTTATGGATAGAAGGCAGCCTCTGTTTTCATTACAGACAAAGCCTGTTTAGTCAGTAGCTGCCCCTCTGCTCTAAAGCCTTGGGGGGGCTCCTGCATTGCTGAAACCTCTTTGGGACTTTCTTTAGAATAAGGTAAATAATTCACATGCTACAGATATATATATATGTATATACTCACAGAAATGGGTATTTTCATGCCCTCATCCAGTTCTGTTGGAGAGTAGAAAAAAGCATAACCCGGGAGAAGCAGCAGGGAAGGGAAAAAGCAGCACTTCATCCTGCAGATGTCCTTCCAGATCTGTGAGGATTTAGGTTTGGCTTTTCCTTCTGCTTAAAAAAAGGCTTAGTTTGGGTTTTTTTTCCTTAGCTGTGTCCAACGGCATCATAACATTCCTAAAATTGACACAAAATGGGAAGGGTCTGTTATTGGTGGTACAGCTTTTCCTCTGTCTGACACCGACACAAGAGTGTGTAGCATCTGCCCCAAGAGATGCTGGTTTCAATGGGAAGAGACAGCTCCTGCCCACAAAGCTCTTCAACAGCCTGAACTCAGAATAGCTACCCTGACCTGTCTTATTCTGTAATAACACAGAATTAGATTTATTCTATAATCGTACAGAATTAGGTCGAGCCTCCTACAAGGAAGTGTCAGTCACAGCCACCTTGGACTGGTAAATTGGCAATTCTGAAACTGGAAATCAGTGATTCAGGGGTACCCAATTGCTTACTGCACCTGGGAGACCTGATTTTGTTTTCTCTGAGTCCAGCTTATTCTACATTATATAGGTTGCTCGTTTGCACCAGAGGCTCTCCAGCTTTTAGAGTGAGGGGAGACCTTCTGGCTCTCTCCAACTCATACCAAAGGCTCTCCAGCTTTCAGAGTGAGGGGAGACCTCCTCGCTCTCTCCAACTCCCTGAAAGGAGGGTGTAGCCAGGGGGGGTCGGTCTCTCCTCCCAAGGAAAAGGTGATGGGACAAGAGGAAACGGCCTCAAGTTGCACCAGGGGAGGTTCAGATTGGAGATTAGGGAAAATTTTTCCAGGGAAAGGGTTATCCAGCCTTGGAATGGGCTGCCCAGGGAAGGGGTTGAGGCACCATCCCTGGAGGGATTTAAAAGCCGGGCAGACGTGGTGCTGAGGGACATGGGTTAGTGATGGGTTTGTCGGTGTTGGGTTGATGGTTGGACGCAATGATCTGAAAGGTCCCTTCCAACCTCAGCAATTCTATGATTCTATGAGTGTTGTTCTAAACTCTGGTGTCTGTCCTGCAGCAGGTGCAAAGATCAATGGTTAGGGCATCCAGAGCCTGGTCTTAGGTTGGTTTCCAGAGTGCTTACACCTTCATATGCAAACTCACTCATGTTCCTACTGCTGTGCGCGTTCTGGAGATGCAGAAGATCCGTATTTTATATTTTTCCCCCTAGGATGATAGGCCCTCCCTTGCTGTAAGGATACCTAGGTCATTTGGTTGGCCAGAAATCAAGGCTGATGCCCGTTTGGAAATGCTAGTCTTTGTCCTGCGGCGGAAAGTGTGTGTGTAATCACGCGGCGACTAACGCGGGGAGCACGCCGCCTCTCCACATAGCCCCGTTGCCTGGTGCCTGGAGTGGGCCATCTGGCCTCTGGCTCATCATTTCTCCAGAAATCAAACATTAAACTCCACGGATCCAGCATTACTGAGGCTGAGATGTCAGGGCATTCGGGGGCTTGGCGAGTTCCTAAGTTTGGGAACAAAAAGAGTCGATACCGATAAAGAATCTATAAATATATAGATGAGTAACACACCAAGAAAAGGAGTGAGACTTAGAAACTCCTCACTGTTCACAAGAGGTTCTGACATGGCCTTTCCATCACCACTGCACAGTCAGTTTATTTTACCTATTTAGTTAAGAATATGTTTACTTATTCATTTATTTATTTATTTACTTCAGAATTCAACTCCATTGCAATATTGCAAATTGCGTTTACTTATTCATTTATGAATACATTTATTTATTTACTTAAGAATTCAACTCCATTGCAATATTGCAAATTGTCATCTTTATCAACTCACCAGCCTGTTAATTTTCGCCGCCGTCTCTGTTGTTAGCCAGGCTTGGGACAATATAATTTTAGATTATTTTTTAAATTCTACTTACAGTGCTGTGGAAGTAACAAGGATTTCTTAATCATCAGGCTGACCAGCCTGTTTAATTTTCGCCGCCGTCTCTGGTGTTAGCCAGGCTTGGGACAAGCTTATGATTTTAGATTATTTTTTAAATTCTACTTACAGTGCTGTGGAAGTAACAAAGATTTCTTAATCATCAGTTTAACTCACTTTCCTATATGTTAAGGGTTGTTCTTGTGATGATGAAAATTCTCTGAACTCTCAAGGTGCTTTTTCATTTGTTTTTGGTTTGTCTTTAAAACAAGAAGATATTAAAATAGACATCTTGGAAATGTTTATACTATCCTGAAATGTGATATTTACACTGCTGTCACCGCAAGAGATAAATCTAAAATGAGTAATACCTGAGATGGTACTGACTTAAAACTAGGAAAACGTAGCAGGAGTTCTGGTGTTCTTGAAGTGATACTTTGATACTGAAATAACCCAGGACAGAGGGGGGGAAAGAAAGTCAGTTCTCTTAAGAGGCTTAAAGGTATTAAAACCAAACCAACCAACCAACCTTTTTCTAAAATACCTGAATTTTGTACCTACAGAATCCCAAAACTTCTGCGACAGTGAAGCAGGTGCTGGCTGAAGGAAATGCCGGGGAGCTGCAGAAGTATTTTGGGTCACGGATGGAGTTTGGAACGGCCGGGCTGAGAGCTGCCATGGGAGCAGGGATCTCCCACATGAACGACCTCACCATCATCCAGACCACCCAGGTGCCTCCTCCAGCCCTTGATCTCGCTTCACTCGCTTCAAAATAAGTTGTCCCCTGCCATATTTGGTTTGTGATTGAATTTACCCACAGCTACAGCCAAGCTCAAGTGGGTCAGTTAGTCCTGATGTAACAACTACCAAAAAAACCCCCAAAGTAGCCAACATTTGGCTGAGCTTTGTGTATGTGTGACATAAATTTACATAAATGCAGTGAAGATCTATATGCATATATAGATATGCATATATTTAATATAGATTATATATATATATTTATATAAAAAAGATATATATGCACATAGGTCTGAAAGTAGATTCACTTGGGGAGAGTTCAGAAACACAGAATCACAGAATGCTGTGGGGTTGGAAGGGAGCTCTGGAGATCATCTCCTCCAACCCCCTGCCACAGCAGGGTCACCCACAGCAGGTCCCACACGAACGTGTCCAGGTGGGTTTGGAATGTCTCCAGAGAAGGAGACTCCACCACCTCTCTGGGCAGCCTCTGCCAGGGCTCTGCCACCCTCACACCAAACAAGTTCTTCCTCATGTTGAGGTGGAACTTCTTATGTTCCAGTTTGTGCCCGTTCCCTCTTGTCCTGTCCCTGGGCACCACTGAGAAAAGCCTGGCCCCATCCTCCTGACACCCACCCTTGAAGGATTTGTAGGTGTTGATCAGATCAACGTAGCCCTCTGCTGTCCCCTCTCCAGCAGTTCCCTGTCCTTCTGGAACTGGGGAGCCCAGAACTGGTCCCAGTGCTCCAGATGGGGCCTCCCCAGGGCAGAGCAGAGGGGCAGGATGACCTCCCTCCACCTGCTGCTCACACTCTTCCTGATGCCCCCCAGGATGCCCTTGGCCTTCTTGGCCACCAGGGCCCATTGCTGGCTCATGGCCATCCTGTTGTCCACCAGGACTCCCAGGTCTTTCTCCTCAGAGCTGCTCTCCAGCAGGTCAGCCCCAACCTGTCCTGGTGCAGGGGGTGATTCCTCCCCAGGTGCAGCACACCCTAGGTTCTGGTTTTTGGAAAAGTATTTAAATGTGATATTGTCCAGCTTCACTCTATTGATGTGACGGTTTCTGATATTTTTTTTGGTGTTTATTGGTCCCAGACAAACTGAATCCCAATCCAGTTCATTGAGATGTTCTGTGTCCTCACCTTTTGGAGACATCAGCATCTTCGCCATCATCTTAATGCAACGATAAATTAATTGTTAAGATGGGGTTAATGAGGTGGGTTTATTGTTGTTTTCAGGGGTTTTGCAGATACCTTGAGAAGAATTTCAGCGACCTGAAAAAGAGAGGAGTTGTGATTGGTTTTGATGCTCGTGCCCACCTTTCCAGCGGAGGTAGTAGCAAAAGGTACTTTTTAGGCTTTATTTTGTGGATGTCGTGTGTGACCCGTTATGGTTTCTAGATCTGCTTGTATTTTTTCTTTCTGTAAAGTGAATTCAGGTGAGGGATTTATAGTATTTTTATATTCTTCTATCCCAAAGAAGTTCTTGTGCTTTGTGTGTCGGGAATAGTGAGGAGACACATTTAAATTGGGTCTGTATAATAATTTGGGGGTTATTTATATGGGGTTTGGTTTATTTATTTTTTTTTTTTATTTGGAACATATGTGGGGGGAAAAACTGAATTCTAGGAAACTAATTGGTGAGAAAATGAATATATTTGTTGGGCTTCTTTTCTTCCTGTTTAGGTTTGCCAGACTTGCTGCTAATACCTTCATCAGCCAAGGAGTTCCAGTTTATCTCTTCTCTGATATAACACCGACTCCTTTCGTGGTAAGTTCCTCTAGGATGTATTTCTATATACACACAAATTCTGTCTGGTATCTTACATTAAGCAAAACGAGACAAACCCCTTTTTTAACTTTTTAAGCTCTACCTGCAGTGAGCCTTATGCCTATTTAGCTATATTTAGTTTACAATTTTCTAGTGCACACATTTAGTTTTGTGATTTTTTTGGGGTTGGTTTGGTTGGGTTCTTTTTTCTTTTTGGGGGTATTGAATCCAAAGTAGCCTTTTTAAACAGCAGGTCGTTGGAGGGCAGCGATATTCCATCCGGAGGGTTGTTGAACGTGTTGGTGAATGTGCATTTTCACCATCAGATCACTAGATGTCAGTGCTCTAGAGCAATAAAAACCCCTACTTTTGTACTAAAACCAACCGTTGCTCCTGATACCAGTAGCTCCAGTGAGTGTGGGGTGAAGACTTTGGATGTAGCGTTCTTCTACCGATACAAATTCGGCAGATTTAGGGTGAAATCCTTCACAATGAGGCTTCAAGCAGCGTTGCAAGAACTGCAGTTGACTATATTCACTGTTAAAGAGCCAGGAATAATCTCAACCTGGACCTGCGATCACAAAAAGTACTTTATTTTCAATTCACTCGATCTGGTTTGGAATTAATTGTAAGAGCTTTTTCCAAAACAATTCTCTTCTGAACCACGATGGAGCGGTTGCTCATGGGCTGCTCTCAAAAGCCAGTATGGATGAGACTGCCCTGGCTGTATGATGCCTCACGTCATCACCCCAACTCTCTGCTCAGCGGGATGGAATTATTGCACACGAGGGAGAATAAATAGAATATTTTATGCATTCCACTTCCCATAACTTTCTCTTCTTGCAGCCGTACACGGTAACTCATCTGAAGCTTTGCGCCGGAATTATGGTTACGGCTTCCCATAATCCCAAACAAGACAATGGTTACAAGGTACATTCCTTATATGATCCATTTTCTGGCTTTCTTCAAACAATTTTTTTCCATGAAGAGACACTAATATAGTTCCTATCGTGTTATAGACCACATTAATGGATAGTTTGACCTCTCCTAGATGTATATATTGAAAGCTAGTAGTGTGTATGCTAATATCATAATTAAAATCTTGGCTTTAAGAAGCAGGAAGATAAGTAATACCATATTTTGGAACACTTTAGAATATTAACTGACCTCTTTTCAAATGCATTAATTGTTTCACCAATACATGATTTAAAAAGATCTCTTTAGTTTTACAAACCCAAAGAATTAAAAATACATGAAACCTAATGAGTTGCTTGTACAAAACATTTTGAATAAATTCCAGGAATTGAATTTGAGTAAATTCCAGCAATTTCTTGTAGTGTATTTTTCTTTTGCGAAGGGACACAGTTATCAGTGTGATGTTTTCCTGTGACACAAATCTGCTTTTCACTGAAAAAAAAATGTGGCTGAGCTGCCTGTTTGCTGACTGTCCTGTAACCAGACTAGTCATACACAGACTGTTTCTAAAATACAAAAATCGAAGGGTTTTTTGGGTTTTTTGTCTTCTTAACAGAAAAACAAGGCATTAGGATGGATGATTTCTTGCCACCTCTCCCTCCAGAAATTAATGTCTGTTTAAAATTGCTTTTTTGCTTTTTAAAAAAAATATTTCATGTATTGATCTTGATACCTTGTTTAGATGTTTTATCCATTACTTTTTTAACCAACTTCATTTTTTTCTTCATGTTTTGTTATTTGGGCTACATATGGATATGGCTGGAGGTATCTTTCCTTAAAACTTGTGGTCTGTGAACCATCAGTAGAAGGAAGTGTGCAAACCACTGTCAAAAAGCAAAACATAATAAGGAAACCTCTTCCTGGATCAGACATGGCTGGAGGTATCTTTCCTTAGAACTTGTGGTCTGTGAACCATGAGTAGAAGGAAGTGTGCAAACAACTGTCAAAAAGCAAAACATAATAAGGAAACCTCTTCCTGGATGTGTAAATAATCGACAAAAAGGGAGACTTCAAGTAATGAACATCTTCAAATTTAGTTGAATTTGCGCTGGCTGTTGTGTTGCCGGGGGCAGCTGTGAAGTTGTTATGCTTTCCTCCTTAAATGTTTTTGGTGGTAAACACGTTTCACTTCCACAAGCTTTTTTCCTTTGCGGAATTATTCGATATATAATGATTATACCCCAAAATCTGGAAGAAAGGGTATGAAATGGCATGGGAAGTTATCAGTCCTGAGGCTGGCAGACGTCCCAAGGCTGATGCTTGAATCTTCTCAAGAAATGAGCTGGGTTTGTGTTTCGTTATGGACTTTGGTGTCTTCTGAGCAAATGAATCGGCTTTTTTTTTTTTTTCATAGAACAAAAGATGGGATGTGAGAGGAAACACTGAGATTATGAGCAGGGGAATGCTCTGGGTGTACTAAATTGCTGGAATATTCTACTGAATGCAGCGCACCTAAGCCAACAAAACAAATAACAAAGCTATCCTACAATATGGGGGTGTTGGTCGACTGTGGGCTGAACATGAGCCAGCAGTGTGCCCAGGTGGCCAAGAAGGCCACCAGCATCCTGGCCTGTATCAGGAACACTGTGGCGAGTAGGGCCCGAGAGGTGATTGTCCCTCTGTACTGGGCACTGGTGAGGCCCCACCTTGAGTACTGTGTCCAGTTTTGGGCCCCCTACCACAAAAAAGACATTGAGGTGCTGGAGCGGGTCCAGAGAAGGGCAATGAAGTTGGTGAGGGGTCTGGAGCACAAGTCTTGTGAGGAGAGGCTGAGGGAGCTGGGGGTGTTCAGTCTGGAGAAGAGGAGGCTGAGGGGAGACCTTATTGCTCTCTCCAACTCCCTGAAAGGAGGGGGTAGAGAGGTGGGGGTCGGTCTCTTCTCCCAAGTCACAGGTGACAGGATGAGAGGAAATGGCCTCAAGTTGCACCAGGGGAGGTTCAGGCTGGATATTAGGAAAAATTTTTTCACTGAAAGGGTTCTCAGCCATTGGAATGGGCTGCCCAGGGAGGAGGTTGAGGCACCATCCCTGGAGGTGTTCAAAAGACGGGTTGATGAGGTGCTGGGAGGTATGGTTTAGTGATGGTGATGCTTCTTGTTTGTTGTGTGGGTGTCTATTTTTGTCAGTTAGGTTGATGGTTGGACAAGATGATCTTTAAGGTCCCTTCCAACCTAGAAGATTCTGTGATTCTGTGATAGTAATGCCCAAATAACTCACCCTATTGATTTTTTTAGGTTTACTGGGAAAACGGTGCTCAGATCATTTCCCCTCACGACAAAGGGATTTCTCAGGCTATCGAGGAGAACCAGGAGCCGTGGCCTCAGGCGTGGGACGAGGACCGCATCGACGGCAGCCACCTGCTCCACGATCCCTACGCCAGGGTCAATAAGGAGTATTTCCAAGACATACAGAAACAGTGTTTTTACAGGTAACTGCTCTTCGCTCCGCCTCGCAGCACAGGAGATGTGCTGCTGGTGGTTCACTGCCTTCCCAGTCTCCGGAGCTGGTTTCAGTGCCAGAATTGGGGATGAAAAGTCGGATTAGTTGTATTTGTTCTCCACTCGCCTCCTTTTGGGTGCACAGGTTACACTGCCTTTCTTATCCCAGTGATTTGCATGTACCAAGACAGGAGATATCAAAAGTGACTCATATTGCTGAAAAAAATGAGGCCAAGCCCATTCTCAAGCCATTACCTTTAAAATCCAACCTCTTTTAATTTATAATTTTAACGGTGATAGAAAATACTGAGTTGTACCTGCTTCCAAATGTAGTCAATTTTGTGCAGAATCATAGAATCACAGGATGGTTTGGGTTGGAAGGGACCTTAAAGCCCCCCCAGTGCCACCCCCTGCCCTGGGCAGGGACACCTGCCACCAGCCCAGGTTGCTCAAACATTCTTCCATATCCAAGTTTACTGTTAATCTGCTTAATTTCAGGAATATAAACAAGGAAACAAATTTGAAATTTGTTCATACTTCCGTGCATGGCGTAGGTCATAAATTTGTGCAGTTGGCCTTCAAGGCTTTTGACCTGAGCCCTCCCTTTGCCGTTCCGGAGCAGAAGGATCCCGATCCAGAATTTCCCACAGTCAAGTATCCAAATCCTGAAGAAGGCAAAGGGGTTCTGGTAAATACATTTTATTTTTTTTTTAATTAGTTGCAATATCTTTCAGTGTTTCCTTTTGCCAGTAGTTGTGGCTTTAAATATTGGTTGAAGGTCTATTTTGTTTCTCTTCTCAGAGCCTTACATTTAGTGAAATTAGTTGGTATTATTTTACTGAGGTTTATAACTGGTTTTGAACCAGTCAGATACTAATTAGCTATAACTTTAAACCAATTTATTCTGTGCTCTAACAGAATGGGCAGCATCTGCACGTACAAAGAAGTGATACAGTTCCTTTTAAAAAATGAAATAAGAATTAAAAGGGATGGTTTCTAACACGGTTAGAATTTCTACTACGAGTATTTCTGCTGCATTTGGTTATTGAAGGATCCTGTTGAATCTAAGAAGCTTTAGACTTGGGCTGCAGGAGCAGAGTGATGTAGGTGAAGTTAAATAGTAGGTGAAGTTAAATATCTGCCAGGCTTGAAGTTCATTTTTTTTGTAGAGAAAAGCCATGAGTTGGGGTGGTTGAGATGAAATACATGGGGAAAATTATTTTAAACCTATAACGGTAGTGCAAATATTATTTGGGAATATTAACACTCATCTGGTCTCACTGCTTTTCCAGACGTTGTCTTTTGCTTTGGCTGAAAAAGATGGGGCAAAAATCATTTTAGCAAACGATCCTGATGCCGATCGACTTGCGGTGGCAGAGAAACAAGAGAGGTATGGTAATAAAGAAATCCAAACCATTTACAGATTATTTTTTTTTACTTAAAGGCTAGGCTTGTTTGGGGGATTCTTGCATCCTTTGTCTCAGAGGAAGACAGAGTAGTCACATTTTTGGATTGAAAACACATAGAGATGTGAAAGTACTGTATGGAACAGACCACAGTGGGGGCAGCAAATGAAATAATGGTGAATATTAGACACTGCTTGGATAAATATGTGACACTTGCTGTGCTTGAGGCACACACAGAAGCACATGAATTGTGGTGATTGTGCTGTACCTTTTTAAAGGGAAGTTTTCAGTTAGAAATTTATCAGAAGACTGATAAACATTCTTTCGTACTGTGTCTATTAAATAATAACTTGAATATTCAGGAGAACCTTTATGGTTCCCTGATAATAGAGAAACTTTTCCTGTGGTTTCCTAGGAATAGGGAACATCCCTGTTCTTTAGTATGAGTTCCTGCTTTCTCAAATACTGTTACTTTACAGTTCATTAGATGATTTGGGCCTCTCTTGCTCAGTTTCCCACTTCTGTGCATAACATTACGTACCTGTATTTCACCTTAAGCATCATCAGGGCTTGGTACTTCTTGGTATCATCATTTGTAGCCTCCTCTTTAAGGACCAGCTTTATCCCTGCATTATTTATCTGTGTGTGTCCTGTCAAAGAATGGCAACACAGAAGGTAAACATGCTCAAACTGAGTCTTCTCAACAGTTTTTCTCATGTATGGAACATGTAACATATAAAATTGTAGAGTCATAGAATTGTCCAGGTTGGAAGGGCTCAAACTGAGTCTTCTCAACAATTTTTCACATGTATGGAACATGTAACATATAGAATCATAGAGTCATAGAATTGTCCAGGTTGGAAGGGACCTTTCAGATCGAGTCCAACCGTCAACCTCACTCTGACAAAACCCATCACTAACCCATGTCCCTCAGCACCACATCTGCCCGGCTTTTAAATCCCTTCAGGGATGGGGACTCCACCACTGCCCTGGGCAGCCTGGTCCAAGCTGGGCAGCCTGGTCCAAGCCTTGATAACCCTTTCTGTGGAAAAATTGTTCCTAATTTCCAATCTGAACCTCCCCTGGTGCAACTTGAGGCCATTTCCTCTTGTCCCATGGCCTGTTCCTTGGGAGAAGAGACCGACCCCCCCTGGCTACACCCTCCTTTCAGGGAGTTGGAGAGAGCCAGAAGGTCTCCCCTCAGCCTCCTTTTCTCCAGTCTTCAGAGGTGGCAGTGCTTTATTTGGGCTTTTGGGTTCTTTTTTTACTTCCTTATCCTCACAACGTGAACTAAGGAGGCTGCTCTGCCTGGAGAGGACAGATGGGCTCACGGGCACTGCTGTATTTTTGGCTGTGGTGGCTGGAATATCCTTATTTTAACATTTTTTTTTGCCTGCACCCAGCCTCAATTGGCAATTCAGCGTTGAGGAAAAAGCCGTAAAAAGCTGTAGTTTGTGCTAGTTATGATGGGTTAAAACAAGAAATGAAGAGGGGGTGATAGTTCATTGTATTTATTGCAACCAAGAGCACGGTGCTTGTTCTTGTTACCTCTTTGCTAATTATTGAGCCGGTCTTAGTTGTCTCCTAATTTTTGGTGCTGTGTCTTTCTCTGGGGCTTCTGCTGTAGCCATTGGGCTCCTACAGTCTCTGTGCTTCTTCTTTGACAGAACCTCCTGCTAGAGCAGCTCTCTCAGCACTCCTGCACTGAGGTGTCACAGGGTGTTGCTCTGTGCATCACTAGGTGCAGGAGACTGGCTCTGCTTCTCTGTCACAACAGGTACCGATTCTCTAGGTCTTGAGGGGTTGTTTTTTGTCAGTCTTTGTCACCCTTTGTGACCAGGGAATTTTTTGGGGCAATTTTGACATCCGTCTTTTCCCTTTTCCTTTGGTTTTTCTCATTCTAGCAACACGTCAATGTTCATCTTTTTGTGGTTTTTTTTCACCTGTTTGGGATTTTTTTTTCCCAATCGTCCTCCCTGACCAATTGGTATATTTTGGGAGTAAATCAAAGGGATTTGTCACTGAGTCTGCTAAAAATACAGATCATTTGAGAGTTGCATTTCTGTGTCTCTGTGCTTGCCTTGATCATTGATTTTCACGATTTTGTCTGCTGAATATTTTCATTTTACTTAAAATCTGCTGGAAGTATCACTATTTTATCTAAATCTGCTGGAAGTATCACTATTTCATCTTTGGATAAAGTCAAAAGCTGGTAGATGTGATGGAGAAGGAAGGTAACTGCTTCAGAATTCTTTATGTGAGGAATATTTCTGTTTGTTCTTAATGGTCTTGTGTTCCTGTTACTTGGAACTGGGATGCAGTGGTTTTATTTGCTGGAATTCATGTGTGAAAGAACCAGTAGGTTTATTTTCCCAGTATTATCCTTTGAATTTATATACTTTCCCTCTCTCTTTTTTTTTTTTTCTCCCTCCATCTCAGTGGTGAATGGAAAGTGTTTTCTGGCAATGAGCTGGGAGCTCTTCTGGGCTGGTGGATCTTCACTTGCTGGAAAAATAACAACAAGGATGGTCGTGCTCTTAAAGATGTCTACATGTTATCCAGTACGGTCTCTTCCAAAATCCTGAGAGCCATTGCACTAAAGGAAGGGTTTCACTTTGAGGTGAGCTGTTATGTGTTATTTCATGTAAATTTATTTGTTTACCTGCACACTGTCACATCTCTGTCAAACATTGTCAAACTCCAGAAGAGTGTGAGCAGCAGGTGGAGGGAGGTCATCCTGCCCCTCTGCTCTGCCCTGGGGAGGTCCCATCTGGAGCACTGGGACCAGTTCTGGGCTCCCCAGTTCCAGAAGGACAGGGAACTGCTGGAGAGGGGACAGCAGAGGCTACAGAGATGATGAGGGGCCTGGAGCATCTCTCTGCTGAGGAAAGGCTGAGGGACTGGGGTCTTTTGAGTCTGGAGAAGAGAAGGCTGAGGGGGGATCTGATCAACACCTATAAATCCTTCAAGGGTGGGTGTCAGGAGGATGGGGCCAGGCTTTTCTCAGTGGTGCCCAGGGACAGGACAAGAGGGAACGGGCACAAACTGGAACATAAGAAGTTCCACCTCAACATGAGGAGGAACTTGTTTGGTGTGAGGGTGGCAGAGCCCTGGCAGAGGCTGCCCAGAGAGGTGGTGGAGTCTCCTTCTCTGGAGACATTCCAAACCCCCCTGGACCCGTTCCTGTGGGACCTGCTGTGGGTGACCCTGCTGTGGCAGGGGGTTGGAGGAGATGATCTCCAGAGGTCCCTTCCAACCCCGTAGCATTCTGTGATTCTATGGTTGCTTTTATTTTTAATGCCTTTTTTTTTCCTCCTCGCCGCTGTAGGAAACTCTGACTGGTTTCAAGTGGATGGGCAACCGTGCCAAGCAGCTCATGGACCAGGGAAAAGCTGTTCTTTTTGCCTTTGAGGAAGCTATAGGTAAGAAACAGAGTATTATATGTTCCAGTGTCCAGTAAAATAGTGAAAGCAGGACTATTGAAAAAAAAATAAAATGGCACCAAAAAAAAGTAACAACTCCTCACATTATACTTGTAAATTGGAAAGTCATGAATAAAAGCGATCAATTAGTGAGAAGGGAATTGTAAAGCAATAATGTTATTTCACCAGCGTCTCAAGACCTGAAAACCAGAGAAAACATGAACAATTTCAAGGATAATTATCAGTGAATTTTATGTAATGGTGTTTGAGACAAAGCGCTCTACAGGCATTGCTCCTGCAGCGTGGCATTTCTCTTTCATGGGACCATCTGGCTCTGACAGGACACAGACCTGTCTCTATCTTGAAATTCCATTGAATATCTTGCTTATCAAAATTAACACCGATTGGAAGATAAAATTTTTCTACTTTTGGTTCAACTCTAAAATGTCTGTACTGCGGTAATGTGCATTTCTCCTTTAAAAGATGTTGGTTTGAATAATTCCCCTTCTCCCTCTCCTCCCCCCCCTTTTATCTTATTTCCTTATAAAAATACATCAATTATATATCATTTTCTTTGCATAGGGTATATGTGCTGTCCTGCTGTTTTGGACAAAGACGGTGTCAGCGCCGCTGTTATCTGCGGTAATGTGCATTTCTCCTTTAAAAGATGTTGGATTGATTAATCCCCTTCCCTCTCTCCCCCCTCCCAATTTTATCTTATTTCCTTATAAAAATATATCAATTATGTATCATTTTCTTTGTGTAGGGTATATGTGCTGTCCTGCTGTTCTGGACAAAGACGGTGTCAGCGCCGCTGTTATCACTGCAGAGATGGCCAGCTTTTTGGCAACCAGGAATCTGTCTTTGTCTCAGCAGCTGAAAGCTGTCTATGATGAGTAAGTTTGATTATAATTATTTAATTTTCAGATTTTCTCCATTCCACATACCAGGGTTACTAGGGACTCAACGGCAACCTATAGTACGTGGAGAAATAAAAATTGGGTTGTTGTACTATTAATAAAATTCTGTGTTAATAGTAATCTTCTAGAAAGCGCTCCTGCCTCATGGGCAGGAATATATTTATGACTTTGTTTTGTGTCATTTAAAGGTATTTTAAAAAATAATAATATTACCTTACTAATTCTGCCCTGCTTGCTGGGCTGCTTGTGATGAAATTTATTCTAATTGGCTCTATAGTCAGGCGTTTTATTATATTATTCTGCCTTAAACAACCAGTTCAGGCTTGTGTGCTTTCCAACAACATCCTGTTTTGAAAAGTCAGTGTCCACAGGTAGTTTGTCTTTGATGCAGGTTCTATTACCTGGCAGCAAAGAGATGATGTTCAGAAGAGTTTGGTTTAGCAGAAACACTTCAAGGGGAGAGCAGCTTCTGGAAAAAAAACAGTATGGGATTTACTTTATAGAAGATAGAGATTTATATTATTTATAGATTTGCTTTATAGAAGGTTGTGTAATATAAAACTGTGTAATATAAAACTCTAATGAATTGAAGCAGCAATATTCTTCTTAATATTGTCTCTTCACAGATACGGCTTCCACATCACCAAAGCTTCCTACTTCATCTGCCACGATCCTAAAGTTATTCAGCAGCTTTTTGACAACCTGAGAAATTTTGATGGAAAAAACACATATCCAAAATCTTGCGGTAGATTTAAAGTTTCTGGAATAAGGGATCTAACTACGGGGTATGACAGCAGCCAGCCAGATCAAAAGGCTGTAAGTATATGACAAAAAGCATACATAAGTCACATCAGCATGAATATACAGATATATATATAAAAAATTCTATGGACAAACACATCCTGAGTTTTAAAATAAGTTAAATTGTTTTCCTTTGGGGGCAGAAAAGGAAGGTTGGGGGTTTTTTGTTTGGTTTTGTGGTGGTTTTTCTTTCCAAGATGACAGTAAAGGGAGGCAGGAAGATTTTGCTGTCTGGTGTCTTGCATTATTTTATTTTAAATGTAGGTTAAACTGCCTCCTGAGGTGTGGCTTTGGGTTCTTTAGTTTTCCACAACCCGTGTTTCTTTTCCTGTCGGGAAATGCCATCACAGAGCAATTTCTGCTTGCAGTAAAAATGTTGACTAGACTTTAAAAGAGTAATGTACCAGATTCTAGGCTGAGGGTAAGGCTGTCTTTTGCCTGTTGTGGTCTCAAGACCACAGTGATGAAGAAAACAGAACAAAGCTTCGTTTTAACTGATCCTTTGGTTGTATTATATTACATCGAGTCACGGCTTTTGTCTAGAATTCATTATACACTTTCCAAGCTTCTAAAAAAAATTATTCTTCCTATTTCTAGATACTTCCAACTAGTAAAAGCAGCCAGATGATAACATTCACTTTTGCTAATGGAGGAGTGGCCACCATGAGAACCAGCGGGACGGAACCAAAGATCAAATACTACTCGGAACTTTGTGCGCCTCCTGGAAACAGGTATCATCACTTCTGCTGGGGCACAGGGGCTCTGTGGCTTTCTCAGAATATTTTGGTGGGGAAGGGGCTCAAATAATATTGCTACAGTCATTATTTTAGCAAATGTATTTGTGTATAGCTTTGATTCTGCAAAATTTGTCAACACATCCTTGCTGTCTCTCAAATTCCTTTGAGCTTGGTTTCACATTCAGTGAAAACAGTATCAAGAAAAACACTCTGCCTTAAATGAAAGTAGATATATTCACTCTCTTTTTACATACGTGGCTGTTATATGTAAAGTGTTCAAATATATTTTAAACCCTTTAATTTTTATAATTACATCCTTGACTGATAGCTTGGGGAAGCATACAGTCTTAAAGCTAAGCAATTATTAACTTATGTAATGAAAAGAATGCTTTCTAACAGAAGAAAACATTCATCTGAAAATACTAAAATAGGTATAAAATTTACATTTTTAATCACATACGCTTAGTAACAGAAGATCTTCTGAACTCAAGCTGGCTGTTCAAGGTCAGAAGATCTTTTATCTTAGATTATATTGTGACTTTATGCTTCTCCATAGTCCTAACTGCATTCACACACGTCAGCTGGAAGTGACCATCAGTGCGTTACCATAAGAAATCAAGTGTATATTCTTTTAGCATAAATAGAAAATATTTCTCTAAAACAATGCAAGACTTTAAAAAGCACATTTTCAGTCTGAGGAATTTTTCAAAATGTTTCTCTAAAACAACGCAAGACTTAAAAATTCCTCAGACTGAAAATGTGCTTTTTTGCTTCTCTGCTGTGACACTTGTTTTCTGTCTTTGTGTGGCTTTTGTTTCTCAGTGACGTTGAGCAGCTGAAGAAGGAACTAGACGAATTGGTCAACGCTCTTGAAAAACACTTCTTCCAACCAGAGAAGAATAATCTTCAACGAAAGACTGAGTAAAATAGCAAATTTACTGCCTTAATTGGTTTTTGCCACACTAGAAGTGCATTATTTAAGAAGTGAAGATTTGTAGGACCAAATATCTGAGAACTCAGACTAAAAAGACTTCTATGTTTATTAAGAGTTATTCCGGGTACTCCTGGATCTAGTATCATATTTTGGAAGGAAAGTACCTTAAAGGACCAAAAAACTCCCAATCAGTTGAACTAAAAGCTGTATGAACTAAAAGTTGACTGCGAATGTATTTCAATCCAAATTTGTTTTAATTAAATATTGTAAGTCATATCCTGATTTCTGAAAAAGCAGCCTGTTTTGTGGAGACTTCTATTTCGTGTGTGTGTGTGTGATCTTCTAATACTACGCAACTCCGCAGAGGTTTGGATTTGCAAAGCGAGTTCTTCTGTTAACAAGAAGTACTGAGAGCCCGTGGTGAGGCTTTGATAAACTTGGGGCAAATGTTTCAAAAATAGTGATCTTTCTTGGGGATTCTGGCCCAAAATAAACAAGAAAGTCTCAGTGAGTTAGCTGGAGAGGTATTTGGTGTGGGACTGTACATCATATTGCAGGAATATGAGGAAACAGAGCATGCTGTTAATCAAATCCTAGTCTTTTAGAATACAAAGCTAAATGAGACTAATTTTTATTGATACATGTTTATTTGGTGCCTTAAATAATGCAGTTATCCTCCTAAATAGGGCCCTGGGTGCTACTGAATGTAGTAATAACTGTAAAGGGAATCCCAATATTGAGTTCCGTGCAATCAGCTTTGTCACACCGCATGAAAATTCTGTACGTATCAACTCCCACTGTTCTCTCCTCCTGAAAATAAAAGCTAAGGACAAATGAAAGGCTTAAAATAAATATATAGTATTTTAGACGTTTTTCAGGCGTGTTAAGTGAGCTAAAACAGTGCATTTGGCTTGTTGTAAATCTGAACTGATTCTCCAAAGTAGAACTTCCTAAGACAATGACACTCAGTGGTAGATGAACTGATTACCAGCCCATTTCCACCTCATCTTGTGGCAGAAAAGTCTATTAATCTTTTTCTGATTAAAGAAACTTTTGTTCGTGAAACGTGAAGGCGACATTACTGGTCTTTTAAAAATTTGGGGGTTTTCATCTTATTTCTGTCCCTGGAAGTATGTTGAGTTCCAAATGCAACTCACGCCTTATCATCTAGAACTGGGATGGGGAGGGATTTTAGGACCATCCATAGGAGGGGGGCACAAAACCAAGAATCTGTTATTAAGGAATTAAAATGACAAGAACTTTTAGTCCAGACCTGAAGTACTTCTCAGTAGTAGATGTTGCCTTGTTCCATTTCCTCTGCTTCTTCGGATGCTGATGAGGAAAATGACACTGCGTCCCTGGCCCCGTGAGACCTGGAAAAAAAAGCATGTGGTACCAGTTGATCAGACCAGAGCATCATGGAGAAAAACTTGGGTCTGTGGAGGTTTCTCTGATAAGTTCCAATGGGGCAAGATCTGAGAAGAGAAATCAAGCAGGAACCTTACTTTTCATGAACACAAAACTTTAAAGCTTTACTGTCCTCACAGAACTTCTCTATCTGTGTTATTTTCAAGCCAACTCGAAGAGTGCAGCGGTCATGCAGCTGGGTAGGGGGAAGGAACCTCTGGGAAAGCTCTAGAAGTTCCTCAGCATCATGATGAGAGGGATGCAGGTGCCATTGGGGCTCAGCTATGAGTTATTTAGGGGTATTTTATGTAGGGGAGGACTTTGTAGAGTAGGGGAGATGGTTGGACTCGATGATCCCAAGGGTCTCTTCCAACCTGAATGATTCTATGATTCTATGATTTCACCCCGCATGCAGATGGGACTGGTTCTCCAAGGAGCAGCATTTCTTACAAATGGCTGTGCCTTGTCTCTAGCCCAGTGTCGGGGAGAAGAAGGGGAGACCCGGGCAGGTGGTCCCCACAACAGAGCAAGGGGCCTTATTTTGAGGTCCTGGCTATGTGAGAAGTGGAAGGGTGAATGTTGGGCCTGTTTCACTCTTGGTAGAGTTGAACAGCTGGGTTGTGACTTAACCACAGGCTGCCCTTGCAAAACATGTTTTCCTGCACTGTGCTGCAGCCCGAGCTTCAGAGCAAATGGCTCTTCACAAGCTCCCAACCCAGCCTAGGTGATATCCTTACCCTTCTGCTCCCCTCTGGAGAAGACCCCACCTGGAGCACTTTGTCCAGCTCTGGAGTCCTCAGCACAGGAAGGACATGGACCTGTTGGAGTGGAGCCAGAAGAGACCATGGAGATGCTGGGAGGGCCGGAGCCCCTCTGCTGTGAGGACAGGCTGAGAGAGTTGGGGGGGTTCAGCCTGGAGAAGAGAAGGCTCCGGGGAGACCTTGGAGCCCCTTCCAGTCCCTCAAGGGGCTCCAGGAGAGATGGGGAGGGACTCTGGATGAGGGAGGGGAGCCCTAGGAGGAGGGGGAAGGGTTTGACCCTGCAAGAAGGGAGATGGAGCTGAGATGTGGGGAAGAACTTGTTTGGTGTGAGGGTGGTGAGAGCCTGGCCCAGGTTGGCCAGAGAAGCTGTGGCTGCCCCATCCCTGGAGGGGTTGAAGGGCAGGTTGGAGGGGGCTTGGAGCAACCTGGGCTGGTGGGAGGTGTCCCTGCCCAGGGCAGGGGGTGGGACTAGTTGATTTTTTAAAGGTTCTTTCCACCAGAGATAATTCCACAATTCTTTTTACTTTCATTAGTAGCATTTCTTTTGCTACAGAATGTGGTGCAGGCTGCTTCCCTGGATTCACGGGGAGGCTCTGAAGACAGTGGACTTACAGCTCCTGAATTTTTTTTTATCGTTTTCTGTATTTATCTGAACATCTCCACAGGCCAGGGAGGCATGTTAATCTTATATCTGCTTCTACACACCAAGCCTGGATCTGGCTTTTGCTAATGTTTCCTCTCTCTAGGAAAGCCATCTGTGTTTAGCCTTCGCCAGAGTCTGTCAAGGTATTTCACTCTTGAGGGACGCTAAGGAGAACCAGATGGCCTGGTCTATCTCTCAGGTTCCTGAGCTGGGCTGGGTTTCTGCCGAGCCGTTGCCATTATTTGTGGATCACCTACATGCATTAATTACTACTTCTGTCCTGCCCGAAGATCTCCTAGGACCTAGATCACCACCAGGCAGTCCCTGGTGGTGCTGGGGTGGATGGGGTGCTGAGTTGCTGGTCCTGCTAACATGCTGATATGATGATGGCTGTGATGATGTTGCTGCCCCCGTTAAAGAATCATAGAATTGCCGGGGTTGGAAGGGACCTTTCAGATCATCGAGTCCAACCATCAACCCAACACTGACAAAAACCATCCCTAACCCATGTCCCTCAGCACTATTGTTACTGTCTTCACCATGCAGTGGTGCCCAGTGACAGCACAAGGGGAAATGGGCACAAACTTGAACATACAAGAAGTTTCATCTCAACAGGAGGAGGAACTTCTTCGTTGTGAGGGTGTCAGAGCCCTGGCAGAGGCTGCCCAGAGAGGTGGTGGAGTCTCCTTCTCTGGAGACATTCCAAACCCTCCAGAGGTCCCTTCCAACCCCACATCACTCTTTGATTCTTCTTGTTCACATCTTTAGAGGGAACCTCCTCATCCTTCTCTCATCTTCCACCTAACTGATCCCCTAAACTGGCTACCTCTACTAGGTGCTAGTAGAGCAAGACTGATTTATTATCAGTCTGAGAACTCCTTTTTTTAGGTTATACAGAAGGTCTTATTGAGCAGGATGATATAAGGCAAGACTGAAGGGCCTCTATCGCCATCCCACAAAGGTCCATGAGAGGTGGGGTGCTGTACACCGAGTAGATGCAATTGGAGAACTCTGCAAGTGTTTTAAAAGTCTGCCAGTGGGGCTAACAATGAGTTGGTGTATCCTGAAAACACCTGAAGATGGCTTTAGAGCCTTTTCAGAAACAGTACAGATGTGGTCAAGATGATGGCCAAACCTGTATCATCATTCTGTCTTCCCACAAACAAGGAATTCCCTTGCGCCATTCCCTGCAAATAGAAGTTCACAACCTCGGGTGGGGGAACGAAAAACAACAAAACCCACACTGGTTTATCAAGCTGATCGAACGGTTAGGACAAATTACAGAATGACAAGATGTTGTTGCTGGAGTCTTTGCTAACCTTGTCTTGCATCAGAGAAAGAGGATCTAGAACTGAAATAACGAACTGAAACAAGGGCAGTGGCTGTATTGCAAACGGGAGAGAAGTTAATAGACAAGTTGGAAAGCTACTGCTTTTTCACAGCTGGTCTAATTCCTCCATCACAGTGTTGTGTGAGACAATGAAGACAATTGAGAGATGATTAGTCCCACAACAGACATTTTAAAAAAAAACAATGTAATTTGTGAGTAACCGGGAGCACAGGTGCTGGTATTTTATCCAGAAAGTGGCAACTGCCACTAGGAAAAAGAATATTGGCAGCCCAAACTGAACCCAAGCGTAAGGGTTGCTTCCAGAGAAAGACACGTCCCGAAGTTACCAAAACCAGCTAAAATGATCCTAGTTTTTCTAAAAGATGAATACTCGTAATTCTAATGAAAGGGGTAAACATTTTGTCCTTCAGGGAATGGCTAGCAGGGAAATGCCTCTAGATTGAGGAGAAATTAGCACAGTAGTAAAAACTCTAAAAATAATTTAAAAAAATTGGTAAAAACCAAAAAATAAAAGCATAGTAATGCTTTAAGACTATACTGATGGACTTCACTAGTCACAACTCAAATCCACCCCTGAATTTATTTCTTTTTTTCAGTACACTTTATGAAACAGTTTGGCTGGAAAGAAATAAATGCATTTCCCTTACAGGCTGTGATCTTAGTCCACAGCAGATTATGAAAAATGCGAGTACTCTACTTGAGTTGCAGAGGATTTATTTGAGGCTTTTGCTATATATATATATATTTGTGGTACATATCCTTGTATGATTTATTGTGTATATTCAACAAATCATACAAGGATAACTGGAATTCACTATAAAAGAATATTTAATGTATAATCAATTCTTTTCATACTGTACAAGTCCTTAAATGTCTTTAAATCTGTAACTAAGTCACCTACAAAGTTTCTATAAATGAAGTTTCCTGCTCACTATTGCTTTTCAAAGTTCTAGTAGTTGTGGGTTTTATTTTGTCACACCAACGATAAGCAAACCTTTATCCTTGTGAATAGTAACATTAAAATGATATTAAATTAAGATTTGTTACCTAAGCACTGGCATAAGTCTTTACAAGATTGGGGACTTTAAGCATTCCGTGGCTGAAGGCACTCAGATGCCATACGTAAGAAAAATC